CTGCAATGCAAACCAGTTTCCTCCAGAATAAAGCGTCCTCATTAATTGCCTTCGCTTGTACTCTTGTACTTACTTGTTTTAAGGCAAAGGTTAGAGACCATGAAGTCTTTAGCACAAAGTTGGCCCAGGTAAGAAACCTCTCAAAATATATCCAGAAAGCTGAGGCCCATCTGCCCAACTTTACTTTACATGCATCCTCCCTGTAACTGCATCACCTTCAGGATAATAATCGATAAGTAACCCTGTTCTGGTAGGAGTGGGAGGTTCAACAGGAGCCAGGAAGGGGTGGTCCCTTGTCCTCCTCAACTTCTTCCTGCCCATCTGTAGGATCTGTGATGAAGCTAAGAGGGTCCACCTGTGTTAGCCTTTGTGTGAGGAGGATGTGACAGCTATGGGACCCAAGAGTCCTGGGGTTGTGCCAATTGCTGACCATTCACCTTTCCCTATGTCTTCTCCCAGCCCTGACATGGGCTCTGTCTCCTGGTTACCACCACTTTCTAGGCATGGTCCAACTCAGATCATATTTTGTCTTCTTTTCTTCTCCTTTAAGTTTCTCTCTCTTCATTCTCAGGAGCTTTGAATTCATTTTTCCACGCTAGGTGCTTTCACACACAACATCTTTTATTTCTCAAGGGAAAGCCCTATAGGAACACAGGCTGAGACACCACAAGTTGGATACTGTGGGTGACTTTCCTGGAGTGGGAGCTAAGGTTGCTCCAACTGTAAGGAAGGAGGTTTTGTCCAGGTGGGGACCCAGCAGGTACACTCCTCTCCAGAACAGGAAGCAAAGAATGGGTCCCCATCTCCATTATCTTCCCAGACAAGCACAAAGAGGAGACGGGCATCAGTGAGCCTGGGAGATTCTTAGACATGCTGTTGTTCTCCTGATGTTCATCCCAGACAGAACAGGGACAGAAGCGTCCCCGTCTATCCTGATGCTGGAGTGGCAGCCATCACCAGGTGGAATAATCGGCAGGCAGCCTTGGACTGGATCTGTCAGTGGGACTCCAGCACCTCTGGCATTTGGGCTCACAATGATATTCTCTTAGCCTCACCAAACTGAAATGAGCATTCTTCATAACTGTATTGTTTGATCCATATCTTTGAGATAAGAAAGGCAAGGCTTGCAGAAACTAGGCCAAGTTCACAAACTTGGTAACAGGTTGAAGCAAGTTCTTTCCTATGATCACTCCTAAAAACGCCAAGGCAACCTTTCACATCCCTGACAGTGGCCCACGAAGCAGATTTATACTGGCAGATCCAAAGTGTCAGGGAAATGACCAAAGTATCTGCACAGAAGCACATGTGACTACAAGGGCTCATCCATCTGTTCATTCATCATCAGTGGACTCTGTATGTATGGACACACATGCAGGGAAAGTCCTGCCTTTGGTGTTCTGCAGCACTCTGACCTACAGGGCTGCTGTGCATCTGTCTGCCACACCCCATGTGTGACACTGGGTATCATGTGAACATCTTGGCCATAGGATTGATGAAGATAGTATTTGATTTCCAGCATTTCCATTTTTCAAGCCCAGCTGCCCCAGGACATTCGCTCAGTTGCTCCATGGAGAAGGGATGTTTCTTGACAAATTGTTGATTGAACCTTAACATCCAGTGCTTTGGAGCTTTGGCTCCAATTCTGGATTTCCTGCTTATTACATAAGGATGTGTGTGTGTGTGCCTGTGTGTGTGTGTGTGTGTGCGCGCGCGCGTGTGCCTGCGTGTGTGTGTGAGGAGTGGGGGTGCAGGGGTCATCAAGCCTGCTTCCATCACTATCCCAAAGTCATGATCTGAGACTTTCCTGAAGCACAGCTGTCAAGTTAGGACTTCCTGGAGGGCTGAAGCCCTGTCCCAACTTTTATCACACACCCCTCTGTGGATGGGGTCAAAGGACAGGGACTCAGGACCTCCTTGGCCATGAACGCATCATATGGCCTGTCTGCAGCTCTAATCGTTACCCAGGACAACTGTTTCCAGCAAATACATACGATCTCAGATTGAAACACAGTCTGAAAACAACAGTGTGAAAATAAGACATTAACATTCACAATGGTTTGCATGAAGGAAGTACTTTCAAGATGTTTTTCCATCACCCTGACAGGAGACGTAGACTGGACTAGGAATTGAGCCTCCCATGGAGTCATTCACAGCCCCGCTAACCCCTCCAGCCCTGTCACAGAACGTCAGAGCCTCAGTTTCTTCAGCTTCAAAATGCAGAGTAGTGACCACCTGGCAGGACAGAGAGGCAGCCAAGCTCACGGGGAGGAGCTGGGTGCCTGGCTTTGGTACTGATCTTCCCACTTCACGGTTGTGCGAATGGGCAGGTGACTCCACTGAATAGGTGTCTGCTTCCTTCGCTATTCAGTTGTTGGAAGGATGAAAAGCATAAGTTTGTGTAAAGTACTTAGTGTCTGGCCATCCCTGCTCGGTATAAATGACCGCTGTTATTATGACAATGAAATGAGATTCTTAGGTAAAGGGCCTTGTGTGGTGGTGACATCACCCAAGTTGTACTCTCTAGGGACAGTTATATCACTGTCAGCATCACATTCAGTGAGACAGGGGAAGGCTTCCCACTTTCACGTGATTTTCCTGACAGATCTAGGAGAACTGATTTTCATGAAGTGAATGGACTGCCCTGGGAAAGGCAGTGAAGAAAAAGAATCAGACCTTGGACAGGAGTCAGGGTTTGGCTCAAGACTAAGAAACTAGACTGTCTTGTTGAATCATTTCATATATGTGTGTAGCAAGATGGTCGGGAAGGGACCATTATTAGAAAATTTCCTCTGTGGAATAAAAGGTGGTGGGGCAGAAAGACAGGGTCCTTTCACAGAAGGGTTACAGTAAACAAGACTGCCATAGTACCTGGAAGGTCATGAGGACACTCCTGGGTAATGTGTCCCCAAGCAGCCTGGCGTTTGAGCTCTCAGTCCCAGCCTTCCTTGCATGGAAGCAGCATTCCCCACCTGATTCTCCTAAAGCCTCTCCTCAGAACCATACTCTGCACACTAAGGGCTGGGGCTGACTCTGGTTTGCAGAGATGCAGGTCCCACCTGATATCCTGTCTCTTAGTCTGTAACTCACTTTAAGGCCTGGGACCAGTGCACTGAAGGCCTCACGAGAAGGAGCCAGGACCCCTACTCCTGCTTGAATAAGGGGTACTCATGGAAATCCTACAACACTTGGATCTCCAGGACAACAGTTGGGAGGAACGACGTCAGAGGGTGTGGGGGCAAAGGAGTTGTGGGGGGCACATCCACAAGGCACAGTTGCGGGCTCCCGGCCCCTCTCAGGAGGAACAGGTTGATTTCAGGCAGCTCTGGCTGCTGCCACTTACTCTCCCGGCGGCCTTGGCAACTTCCCTGACCTCTCAGGCCTCGGTTTTGCCTTCAGCAAGCACACAGGTCACTGAGAGCTCACACTGCTGGGTGCACTGGAGAGCTGGCATTCAGGGGCCTCACAGAGCCCTGGGCATCACTCTGCCGCCCCCACAACCTGAGCTTCCAAGGGCGGCCCTTGGAATGTGACTGTTTCAGAGAGGGGCTCAGCGCCCCTGCCCTCACCTTAATGGGCAAGAGGCATTTCTGGAACCTTCCCCTTGTCCACCCATGGTCTCTTGCCTCCCTCTGCTTCAATCCTCTGTCTGGCTCTGTCCCTCCTGCTCCTGAGTGGGCATCTCTGAGTGGGCGTCTCCACTGTTCAGGGCATAAGGCTGGCGTGGGGGCTCTCCTGACCACAATGGGTCTGTGGTTCTGGGGAGAGACTCCAGGAGAATCAGGCTTCCATGCAAGTAAGGCTGGGACTGAGAGCTCGATTCAGACCCAGGGCTGGGTCCCAGCTGCCATAGGAGCCCTGACACCTCTGTCACCAGACAGTGTCTCTGCTGGATGTGAACATGCCTCAGGTGTGTTATGAGCAGTGTCCAGGGGCTTTCAGGCTTGTCCAGAGCTTATAAATACCTGCTGCCCAGTCACCGAGAGCCAGTGTTTGCCTGACTCAGTGAATGCCATCAGAGCATCCCACCTTACAGACCCTGGGACCACAACATCCTCCAGGCCCCTGACCCCGTCTATGCAGAGGGGCTGAGCATGGGGATAACCAGGAATATGATGTCCAGGCAGATGACTCCCAGGTGAAACAGGAGCACCACGATTCTTGGATTTAGAGGCCTGAGAAGGGCAGCCTCTGGTAGTTTGGGAGTAACCATCATGAAATCATGAGTGCTGACGCGAAAGGAGGGCAGAGCAATGAGAAGGGAGGAGCCAGGCTCTGGGTTGGTTTAGGTCTGGCTCTGCCCCTCCCATCCTTAGTGACTTGAGACATGTCACTCAGCCACTCTGTGGCTTTACCCCCTTAGTAAAGCTGAGATAATGGTAGCATCTTTACCTACAGTCACTGGGAGGATTAAAGCAACGAAAACATGTAAAGATCTTAGGCTAGAAACTGGCCCATAGAAGGGACTTAAACATTAGCTGCCATTATATTAAATTCCAAGGATGACAACTGGAACAATCTGGCTTCTCCCCATTGTCACAGGCACTGACACAGGAAGGCTTCTTTACTACCTGGTAAAAGCAGTCAGTGTTTCCAGACAACACTGTGGAGGGGATGTCACCATGTCCCCCACCACTCCTGGCACCTGAGTGACCAGCCCGGGAGGGTCTCATGGATGGGGCGCAGCCAGCAGTCCTACAGGGTCGGGTGGGCAGTGGGGAGGGACTGGGAAGCCTGCCTTCATCTCCAGCCCTGTTTTCTTAAGATCAGATGTGCTGGGTGTTGCTCTGGGTAAGAAAGTTCCTGACACACCTGGGACGAGGATGCAGGGGAAATGTTTTGAAAATCACTTGGGAGGCTCATGAGCACCAGGTCTCCACGTCTTGGGCGTCCCTCTTGTCAGATACCCAGACAGGGCTCTCTGACCCAGAGTCTCAAGGGGCAGCAGTCAAGGGCAAAGACAAGACCCCAGCCCACAGGGAGCATCCCTGTGCCCTGCTTACCATGGCCCTGGGCGGGCACCACATCAATGGTGCCTGGCTGTAGCGCTGAACAAAGTCACACAAAGTATCCAGTTTTCCCTGAAAAGCAGATGTGGTTGTGAGGAACCTACAGGCATAGATGCTGCCACTAGAGGAGTCATGTCCCTGCTGACTCAAGATGGGCTCTCAGGGCTCTGTCTCCCCCACCACCCCAAGACAGCACTGTAGCCTCCACCTGGGGCCACCCCACAACATGCAGAACCCTGGCCCCAGCCTGAGGGGGAAATCCCTTTGCTAGGAACCCTGGTGGTGGTGGGAGCATGAGCCCTCATACATTTTTGGCCTCCCTTGGGCCACTAGGGTCAGGAGGCCTTTGGCTTTTCTCTGGTCCCAGTGACTGCCGTCCACTGCCTGTAGCTCATTCCCACTCGGGCCATGCCTTACAGGCCCAGGCCTGTGCACAAAGCAGCTCCCCTCACCTCCTGCTCCCCAGGGCCCTTCTCACCTCCATCCGTTTCATCCTGCATCCTTGGCACCCATGCGGGACAATCACCGTGGGGCATGTCTGCATGTGACATGTGTCCTCAGGCTCCTAGGAAAAGAAAACCCTGTCTGCTTCCTCGTCTGGCAGCTCCTGGCTGCAGACACATGACATCAGTTGCCCCAGCACCTGTCAAGTTCTGGTCATTCAGGGAATGTTTGCTGGAGAATCAAGGACAGATGAGCAGCAGCGGGCACAGGGAGAGAGTGTCCTCCGCGTGAGAAACACGCTTCTGCTTCACAAAGATGGGCCTTCTACAAAGGCCAACAAACTCTGTCCTGTCCCCTTGGTTCCTGGAGCTGCCCTTGTTGGAGAAGCTGGGCCTGAGGCTGTGTCACATGATGGAGGCTGTGGGGGGTGGGTCATGAGCAGGGACAGGGGTACTCACCTGACTCTGGCAGATCCAGCGTCCCCAGTCCACACTGCAACCAGCGCAGATGCTGGCCCAGGCAGTGACCCTGTCTCCCACCAGATCTCAGGCCCACATCCCCTTTCTTGGGACACCGTACCCCTGCTCCAACTGCCTCTTATGGGCCCTGGATTGGGCACCCACCCTGGTGAGCCACAGCCTGCTCCCCTGTCCCTTGGTCCCTGTGCTCATCTGGGCTACACCCCCTTCACAGCTCAATGCCCTCCTCCCTCCCCTCTCCTCAGCCCCATGTCCTTAAAGGTCACCCCCAGCCAAGGCCCTCATGCTGACAACGGATGGAGATGAAGACCAAGGAAATGGAGCCCAACGGACTCAGAGCCTGGAGAAGGGAGACCAGGTCCCTGAAACCTGAAAGTCCTTTTCCAAAAGCTCACCTGAGTCCTGGGGAAGGACCATCCTACAAAGATCCCTTGGGAATTAACAAAAAGCCCATTTATTTCAGGAGGGATCATAGCTGTTCCTGAAACAGGCTACACCACGTTGCTGATTCAGTGACAAAGGCTCTGAATAAGGCCAGGTTGGGAACTTGGGAAGTGTGTTGCCTGGGTGATATCTGTAAGTCCCATGGCCTCATTGGGGTCCCCCTGTGCCTCTCTGTCACCGTCGTCCTCCTGCCAGCTCTCCCTGCCCAGGTAGGTGGGAGCTGGAGGGGTGGGGAGGGCGTATTCCCATCGGCGGCAGGAGGCCTCTCTGTGTGGGTCAGTGTGTGCATCAGGCATGCTGACAACATCAGGACCAAACACATCGCTTACCTTTGCTCTTTCCTGGGTTGGTGGTGGCTCCTTGGTGGTCTAGAATGGAAGTGATCAAAATTGAAGTGGTCAAAGTCCAATGTCCATAAATTATCTCCACTGAAGTGATACCTTTGGGGATAGGCCTCTGTGGCACGAACTGGCTCCTTCTCCTCCCACCCCAGCCTGGGGGTCACAGTTCCCTCCATGATGACTCTTCTCACCTCCATCCATCTTTTTCCTGCCTACTTGGTATGCAGAGAGGGACAATCACTGTGGGGCAC